CTTCATTAACAAGCTCTGAACGTACCAAACTGACGTTGACCCAGTATCTCTTAGAACCCAAACATCTTTCCCGTTGCACGAGCCCAGAACCAGCGGCAAATTCCCGCTAAACTTTCTACCATTACCTAAGGTAAAGTTAACTTTAACAATTGGCATTTGGTTGTAATTAGTAATTACCTGCATTATTGCCTATGCGCTGAATTTTAGACCAACAATATTTCGCGTAGTGTCCTTTACCTCCACATTTATAACAACTTGTTGCATCATCATGAAGTGCGTCATCCTTCCTTTGTCCAACAGATTCCATCGCCAGGCTGCTCTGGCTGCTCATTCCAATACGGCACATTTTTGCTATATGGCCGGACTTTCCACATACATAGCATTTTGTAACTGAAGATCTGGTGCACTGGTGGTGCTTGGAGACTGAGGCAATGAAATGTTAGCGACTCTTCCCGTTGATTTTCCATGTATTGCTTGGTAATTATCCGCCAACGCGATGACTTCGTCCAGAGACGAAATGAAGATGTTTCTTTCTTTTAAATATTCCGTCAAGGGCTTCTCTACGCAATGCAATATTTGGTCTTTTATGATCATTTCTTTTAAGTTATTGAACAATGCTCCCACATTAGCCAATGACTCCATCTGAGACAAATTTTCCCTTAGAAACAACACAAATTGCGAAAACGACTCCTCCGATTGTCTTGCTTGATGAAATCTACGTTTATAGTCATAAATGGTAAATCCAAAACTTCTAATAATTAGGTCCTTGTCCTTCACTTCCACATACGAGAGATCTGCAGGCAATGTGTCTAGAAATAAACCAATCTTGGTATTAGCAAATCCATTCATCAATGCTGGTATAAGTGGTATTGCAGTGTGCTCTGGGCCTCTGGCCAATCATTAGCTTCCTTGACCTTGTCGAAGGTTCGCAAATATACCGCCACACCCTCACCTTCTTTGAATGGATTCGGCTTAATCAAAGATTTTGTAGATAAAGACACCGATGAACTTTGGGGCGCACTGGCTTCCAATCTTTATTTTTCCAGTTCCAATTCTGCCATCTTGAGTTCATGCTCTTGTTTCTTCTCTTTCTGATTCGGTAACCTAGGCTCTCTATCCAAGTCTTCTTGTCTCCTCCTCTCTTCTTTAGCACAACGTTCTTCCTCTAATCCTCTTTCGCAGAGCGTTCCTCTTCCCTTCTGATCCTTTCTGAAACATACTTCTGTAATGCGGCTCCACTGTAACCAAGGCTGCGACCATCTTCAATAAACTGGGATTCACTCATTGTTAGGCGCAAAGTGCAACACCTAATATGTCACGTGATCCAGATTTAATTTCACCAACCACAGCCGACACGAATACTGGCCACCATTTGTAGTAATTCGCTTGGGTTCTCTACTTCAGCTTTGGCACATCACGGGAGATTGATCACGAGTTCCCACATAATCATTATTACAGCAGCAGCAATCAGTATGTACAAATGATATACGGATCAGAAGGAAACTGCTGCCGAGGATGAGATCGTAAAGTCAACAACCTTAATATCTAAAATAACTCGTCCCTAGTAAGTTCCGGTCCGCAATAAACTTACATCCGTAATGACGGAGAAAGTCAGTTGCGTTCACGGCGATAGCCCGTCTGTCATTTGAGCTCTCTAAAACCGGTGAATTTAATTTTGAAGTATTAGCTGTTGCACTTGCTTAAAATAATTTTTTTCAAGCTATTTCTCTATAAAACACGACTGGCTTTCTCCCTAAGAGGTTTGCCAGTCTGCGTTGCTTTATTTCATTATTATTTTTGTTTCTTTATTTACTTTATTACTATTATTATTTTTTTCAGTTTTGTTTCCTGTTTCAATATTTGCATTTGTTTTCAAATTATTGCCTTTATTTTGTTTATCCTTTGAGTTTTGTGCCTGTGGTCCTTTTCATAAGGAGTTGACTCAGTTAAAGTTGGAGAGTGCGTATGAAGGTTGAGCAGTGCAGTCGACAGAATTCTTGCTGATCAAAAAGTGGAGTGTGAAAAATTTACGCTTTCCCTTTACCACGTATTACTGATATTCATTATAAAATCTTGAAGTTCTAAATTGAAAGGTTTCATGTGGAAAAACAAAAGAAACCCAAATCTGGGAACTAAACCCCCAGATAGCCAACCGGCAGCGGCAGGAATGTCCAAGATAAAAGGAAATGAACTTGAACCCTGCCCTTCATCAGCACCAGAGAGAACTACCGCAACAAAGACAAAAATACCTGAAGACAGAAAAGGAGATTCATTACCAAAACGCAAGCGTCATCAGGCAAAGACATCTGACTATCCTGGAACTGGAACAAGATCACAAATAGCCCAATCAACAATGGGAAAAACAAGATTATCAAAAAACCAAATGGATTTAGACCAAATAGCCTGCAGCACGGAAAGTCTTACATCTATAGACTCAAATCCAGAAGGAGTCTTATCCTCTAGCAATAGATCATCAAAAACAGACCAAGAGTCTGAAACATAAAGAAAAAACATAAATAGGCTGTCAAACATAAAATATGTTATATATGGTAATTTTATATTAACTTCCAAGCCGGTCTATGGTACCCCGTCAGGGCTGACATTAGGTGGTCTAAGTTACCCCATTTGGGGGCGGCACCCCCCATTTGCAAACTATGACACTTTCCTAAAATTTGTTGTTTGCATATGTAACTTGAAGAGTTCTACTACAATGCATCAAAACCTGGAGTTATTTAACCAAAAAATAAAAAAATTGGAGGGGGTACTCTGAAAGGCTTTAAATAATAGCTTTTTTTTGTGGGTCACATTTTTAATTTTTTAACCTATTAGATATGCAAACTTTTCAAATCTTTCTATTGTGTTATGTAGCCTCAATATTAGGCCTTTAATGCCCATTGACAAAATTTTTCTATGTCAAATAGTTTTTGAGTTGTGGGGTTTTTGTTAAAAAAAACGAAAAGTGGTCTAAGTTACCCCGCTGGTCTAAGTTACCCCATTTTACGGTACCATTTTAAATACTTATTTTTTTTAAACAATATCAGGAAGATGGGGTTTGTTAGCTGTATCAAACTGTTGGAGTCATTCTCGGAAGTTTTCTACAGCACGTTCACACATATGGCAAGGTATGGCCATTGCCTCTGCTACAATAATCCGTTCCCTTAGCTGTGGTAGGGTGTGAGGGCAACTCCTGAACCCCTTTCTTTTAGATGTCCCCAAAGAAAGAAATCGCAAATGCTCAAATCAGGTGACCTTGCAGGCTACTGTAAATCACCCCTCAGAGTCTGGGAACATGCATTTCAAAACATTGACATTCGGGCTGTGTGAGCTGTAGCCCCATCCTGCTGGAACCACATGTCTCCCAATGCTTCATTTTCAACAATGTTTTCCATCATGGGCTGCAAGAAATTTTGCAACATTGCAGCATAGCGATCAGAATTCACTGTTATGGTTACTCCCTCCTCTGAGAACTGCAACAGTGTGTTGCAGCTAATGGCCCCCATCTTCCAGATATTGTTTTCAAAACATAAGTATTCTAAATGATATGCTATACTATCCTCTAGGAAAATAAACTTGCTTCTTTATGTACCTCCATTACCCTTTTATTTTACCTCAAAACTGCTCAATCGGTTCTGCCCCACCCAGTATATCAATTTTATTTTTTGGTAAAATAACTCCAAATAACTCCAGGTTGTGGTGCATTGTAGTAGAACTCTTCTAGTTACATATGCAAAAGACAAATTTTAGGAAAGTGTCATAGTTTGCAAATGGGGGGCGCTGCCCCCCAATGGGCGAAATGTGACCGCCTTAATGGCAGCCGTGATGGGGTAACATTGACCGGTTTGGAAATTAAGTTAAAATTACCATATATAAGACTCTGTAGAGTCTGAAACACGGTTTGGAAATTAAGTTAAAATTACCATATATAAGACTCTGTAGAGTCTGAAACATAAAGAAAAAAAAACATTAATAGGTGTATCAAACATAAAATATGTTATATAGGTACCTATGGTAATTTTAACTCAATTTCTAAGCAGGTCAATGTTACCCAGTCACGGCTGCCATTAGGTGGTCAAAGTTCCCCCATCAGGCTGGAATTCTAAGAATGAAAGTTCACTTATTAAAAAGCTTTCCACCAAAGCTGAAAAGCTTTCCCATTCCCACAGTGCTTTTCCAGGTGAATGACTAAAGTGACTATAAATGAAAAGGTGGATCAAAAGTGGACTGTGGACAAAATGTTTCAATTTTATACTAGTACATTAGATTTGTAAAAGAATTATTTAGATGTCCCTCGTTTGATAGATATTTTTTATTTATCTTTTATTTAATGGATTTTTTTTAATTTTCCAGGCCTTTTGTTTGTAATGATCAAGTTTCAGTCAAGTATTTAGTTAACTAGTACTGTAGTACATATACCATACTTGGGGCGGGGCTTATGGGCACAACCAATCACAGCATGAAAGCATCCCCATCAACCAATCACAGCTTGAAAGCATCCCTATCAACCAATCACAGCTAGAAAGCAGATAACATTACCATTCCATTATCCAACCACAGCTGGAAAGCTGAAAGGGGGCTAAAATCACAATCCTATCAACTAATCACAGCTGGAATTGTGGAAAGGGATAGGATATGTAAATAATGGACAAAGTGTAAAGTTCCTGGCCTTTCCAAGCTTTCAGGTCCTGCTTTCCAATATCCTATGTGTACTAGTTAATTTATTATCCCTCTAGAATTCCACACTGCTAGTTGGAGGAGATAGGGTTCATAGGGAGATTATCAAAAGTGATTAGCTACAAATTTAGAGTGCCTATATCACTTGTATATATATAAGCTGCTATATCACATTCCAGCACAGAGATTCCAGAGTCTTCTGTCAAAAGACTGAATTTTTTTTAGAAAAATCACAATATCGTGTAAAAATTTTTTCTCAAGGTTAGATAAAGTGAACCTAAACTATCAATCTGCCATTTACTTAGCTTAATTCTTGCTTTGAATTTCAGGTTACCTCCACTTAGGAGGACTCCGTACTGCTCTATACAACTATCTTCTGGCCAAGTCAAGCAATGGGTCTTTCATCCTGCGCATTGAAGACACAGACAGTAACCGGTTTGTGCCTGGTGCTGCTGAATCTCTGTACAATATGCTCAAATGGGCACAAATTTTGCCTAATGAAGGTTTGTTGCCTTCAATGTTGTTTGTTGATTATATATGCATCCATCCAGTGTGTCAGATTTACTCAAGTTGGAAAGTACAGCTTGATATGGTTTAATGTTGATTTATCATTGCAGTCTAAAGTTCTATTTCTACAAACTACTTTCTGAATTTTGGCTTGAAATCGTGTCATAGAGGTAATGAGCAGTAGAAGTTTAATTATGTATAAAGTAATTCAATTTTTATTAATCTACTTTTAACTCTCCAAAACAGTGATCATGGTTTTATTTGAATAATCATTTGCTTATGTGATAATATGTATTCCAACAACTGATATTTGAAGCTTTTGGATTTCAATATTTGCTGTTTAACTTAAAATCAAATTTTCTATATTGATTAAAATATTAAATTAAAAGTGAGTAGGTTTTCTATGGAATACTCTGTTTGCAGTTTGTGACAAGGCTGTGATATATTATCTGTTCTTATTAGTTATTATTTGCCAACCTTATAAAATTGTTTAATGTGTTATTTTTATTTTTCAGGGTATGGTATAGGTGGATCAAGAGGACCTTATGTGCAAAGTGAAAGAAGGCATCTTTATCAGAAATATGCGTTGGAGCTAGTGGAACTTGGTTCTGCTTACAGGTAGTGTTCATGTTAATAGAGTTGAACAAAATTTCTATAAAATCAGTACCTATAACAGTGCAAGAGTCACGTCTAGCTGAGTCAGCCTCTAAGAGTAGTGCGTGTGCTTAATGAATTGCCATTAATGTCAGTAAAAATAGTTTCTACAAAATTTTATGATGATGGCCTCAATTGAATATTTGGGTGGGAAGAAAATGTAAAAAGTAAATAGCATGGAATCAACTTTGGGCGGTTGACAAGTGTAAGTTTGAGAATATTATTTGGATGTGAATTCAATGTTCTTGATAACATAATTTGTGATATAGGCAATATTGTCTTTTTATACAACATTATATGGTACTCTACAATTAGTTCATACAATGTCCTACAAATTAGGTTAATGATATGATGGTTATCCCGGTAATCAAATGTAGGTATTAACTATTATTTGATAAATTTGAGAAAATTGCCATTCTCTGTTGAATGAAATCATTAGAGTCATACTGTTCTCTCTCTAACTATACCACAAAGTATAATTCTATAATATTATTATTATCTGTTAAATAATGTATATTACTGCTTATATACTCATGTGTACATTGTCCAATGATAAAAGTTTTCAATATCTACCTACCTGTTAATGCATTGATGCAGAGCTATTACTGTTATGCATTTTACTGGTTGTATATTTATTACACTAAAATATTTTGCACGTTTTTGCAGATGTTTCTGTTCCCCAATGAGGCTTGAAATTGTGCGGAAGGAGAGTCACAAGACTGGCTACACAGCTGCTTATGACAACAGGTGTCGATGGCTCACCAAAGCAAAGTCAGATGAACTTCTATCACAAGGCACGCCATATTGCATACGATTGAAGGTAATTTCTTATTCAAAATGAATTATAACAGCAATATTCATCATTTGATTCCTTGTTCAGTTCCAGGTACATAATGTGAAATTGGTAATTAGTCGGTTACCTTTTTTAAAATGAAATGTTTCATAGTCCATTGAGATGCGATTTATATTTCTTTACACGATAAAATATTTTATTTAATGCCTGATTGCTTAGGAATGCTAATAATATTGTACTAATCTGTTTTCTTTATTGATGCTGGTATGGAAAGTTGTTCTTTACACTTAGTCTATCGTATCATTTGGTATTGTAAACTTTCTTTGCTTTTTTTGTTTTAGATACAATACTTTCTTACCATACAATAATTTCTTCCAAATTTAAATACTTTTTTTGCTTTTAAATTCTTGTAAATTATTGTCCCAGTTAGCCGAAGTACCCCCGTGGCAAGACACTGTGTATGGTTCAGTCTACCATGCGGTCCAACAAGAAGCCGACCCTGTCATCCTGAAAACTGATGGACAAGCGACCTACCACCTAGCAAATGTGGTGGACGACCACCTTATGGGCATCACTCACGTGGTCAGGGGTGACGAGTGGTTATTGTCCACTCCTAAGCACCTTTTAATGTACAGGTCAGAGTTGCAACTCGTCTGCCCAAAAGCAGAATATCAGATCTGACAATTGTTTGGTGACTAATTAGTGGAGGGGGGCTTGGTGGCATGGCTTTCATGGGGTTATGTAAACAGTTTTCATTACACAGTTTTTTAAAATTTGTGTATTAATTATATTTGATGAGGTATTGTCATAGCACTTCTAAGTTGTGAAATTTTTACTGAGCCTATTTTTGTACTATTTTTATGCACCACCACACTTACTAGACATGTTTTTTCCTTTTGATGGTAAGCTGTTTATAGCATAGCAAATGAATGCATTAAAGTGTATTCGTTGTTTTTCTAGATAAGTGAAATCTTTTTAATCGCTTCTTGAGCTCTTGCTATATTGAGTATATTCAGTTAATTTTTTGAGAAAAGCTTACTCATTTCATAAATTTGTCGTTCAGAATGTTTGACTGGAGAGCCCCTGTATATGCTCACTTGCCCCTGCTACTCAACACTGATGGCTCCAAGCTCTCCAAGCGCCAGGACAACCTCAGGGTGGAAGAACTGCGGCGGTGTGTTTAATATCAGTTCTGCTGCATTAATTACTTTTAAACAATAAAAATTTCAGTTTAGGTGATTTTCAATAGTTTATTCCAGGAATAAAAAAATTTTTATATGATTTTTTTCTTGGTAAGTGATCTTGCAGATGAAATGGATTCGTAATTACTGACATAATTTGTTATGAAAGCACCATTACAGATGATCCATGTTTGTGATATTGCCGCAGTGCAGGACACTCAGCTCGTACCCTCATCAACCTGGTACTGGGCAGCGGCTTCAGGGGCAGAGATCAGGACACCATATATAGCCTTGATCAGCTCGTTGATATGGTGAATTTAACACAAATAATAATAATAATGTCTTGAGCACTCGTCCTTTGTTAGCACATCTTTTTCTCATATTTATTTCAATTTAATTCTACCATAATGCTCCTATAATTAATTTTCCATAATTTTACGGAATTTCGTCAGTTGTGTTGCTCTTGATTCTAATTTTTTCACCTCTTAATGCCCCGCTTTTACGACACTAACGCCACTAAATTGACTTGTACAGTTCTCCCTGAATTGCGTGACGAAGCAGAACGCAAAGGTTGACATGGACCGCCTGAGTAGCTTGAGTCAAGCAGATTTCATCCGCAGTGTTTCTGATGCTGCCGAGAAATCAGACACGGTGCAACGCTTGCAGTCTATGGTCCGGGAACAATTTGGAGACGGGTAAGTGTCAGGGCTTTGTCAGCTTCATTTGATTTTAATATTGGAGTATGTGTTGGTTTTCTGGTAATGTGTTCAGCTATGGTGGTTACAACGGGTATGAAGATTACCATGATCAACGAATTTCCCGTTTGGGCAATATATGATGTGGTGGTTTACGTGATGCTAATTTTTTTAAAGCAAAGAAAATCCACCAAAGTTCTTAGTATCTGTTTGGAAAATGTTTCAGAGTCCAGCTAAATCGTCAGTTTGAAGATTCTAAAATATAAATACAATCACTAATTAGTACAATTGAAATTCAAGGAACCGAAATTATAACCTAAATTTACAAATGAAAAGCAAAACACGAGAAAAATATCAGCAAAACCCATCTATTTGCCATCTCAAGGGGATATGAGCTAAGAGCTGAATTCAAACTGGGCCTCTGAGATTGTGAATAGATGGGTTTTGCAGTTTTTTAACACGTTTTTCTTAACTCAACTTCGCGTTTGTCTGTTTGTGGATTTGTTTGTTGTTAACATTGACAACGAAAATTAGCCCACTTCTGATTGCTCTAGAGATCTGAAATTCGGGGCATGCAGGCTGTTTTCGCCTAACAATTTCAGATACAATCATAAAAACTAGCAATTAGAGACCTAAATTAGCTTAATTGAGTAAAGTATATATATATATATATAGTATATAGGGTATATAGTATGACGTGCGGGCGCTGACGCTGCGTATCATTGATACGTACGTCGAGTCATACTTAATCAAATCATTAGATATAGTAAAAAATAAACTATATAATATAAAAAAACTTTTTAAAAACAACGTTTTTCATGTGTAGCAACGGACTAAAAAGGAGAAAATAAAATACTTAAAAAAACTTTAAATAATATACGTTTAAAAATTACTTTTTAAAGACAACACTTCTAAAGAATCCTGTGTCTCCAATGTTAAAGATGTACAATGGATTTCTCATTTTATTTTCGAAAATTAAAAAAATTAATTTTTCAAAATTTTTTAATATACCGTATAAAATTTTTTTTCAAAATTATTTATTCTGTCAATTGATTCATGCATTGCCTCCAACTTCACACAAGTATGCAAAATTTCAGATAAATTGGACAGGTGGAAGTGTGTCAAATATCATTTATAAGATTTGTAGCTGACAAAATTATTTTGTCAATTTTTTTTAATATTAAAAAAAAGAATTTTTAATTTTCAAAATTATTTATTCTGTCAATTGATTCATGCATTGTCTCCAACTTTACGCAAGTGTGCAAAATTTCAGATCAATTGGACAGGTAGAAGTGTGTTAAATACTATCGATTATAAGATTTGTGGCAGACAAACAAACAAACAACAAGAAGTGAAGTTAAAGAGAAGTATTGTAAAAACCACGTTTTTCTTTTGGACTAAAAAGTAGAAAATAAATTATGGCTCGCCCCAAAAAACGTGGGTCGGGCTGTACGTTCACCATCAAATTTCCAAAATTCGTGTGTTGTGTGCTTTTCGCTTTAATCATAAATCTGCCCGACACACGTTTTTTGGGGCGAGCCATAATTTATTTTCTACTTTTTAGTCCACAAGAAAAACGTGGTTTTTTAAAAAAGTTTTTTTTTTAAAGTATTTTATTTTTTTTTCGTCTTTCATTTGTAAATTTAGATTTTAATTTCGGTTCCTTGAATTTCAATTGTACTAACTTGTGATTTTATCTACATTTTAGAATTTTCCAACTGATGATGGAGCTGGACTCTGAAATGTTTTCTACAAAGATACTTGAACTTTTGTGATTTTTTTTTTTTGGCTTATAAATTTCGTCTTTATTTGCGATTCAAGCCAACGAATGACATGCATTTTTTTATATGAAGCAAATTTCAAATTTCCTTGTGCAGTCACATCGATCAACAGATTCCAGTAAGGTCTTATTTTGTGTTATTCCATAAATAAATATTACAATTTCTTCGGTATTGTATCGTATTTTCCTCTAGCAGCCCTGCTGCAGATAGTAGCTACGTTAGCCGAGTGCTGGACGCGTTTCTATCACGTCCAGTAGACCGACTGAGTCAGCTACTGGACCAGGACCGAGCATATCTCTGGGCCTCTCCCCAACCCTTGCATCTCTCCGACCACCAACGTCTGGGTACTGAGATTGGCGTAAAAATTAATATTTTTAGGCAATATTACTCGATGTTTGTACCCCAGTGGTCTGAGTTTGGATTTTTTTGTGATGTAGTTTATATAAGAGTTAACTTATTCTCCAACTTTCTCGCTTTCGTGTTTTGTTAATAATTGAAATATACTTTTTTTCCTTAATTTTGTTGACCACTAATTTTAAGGTGATACGTATTTTTTGTGTTTTTCATACGTTTTATTCCTGCTTAATGAATTTATCTCACTATCTTCGTTACTATTTCGTTTACTGATCCCATTTCTTCATTTCTTAGATAAGTTAAAAAAATACAAATAATTACATTTTTATTTTTTTTCTAACACCCGTTACAACTATTGTATTTCTGAAGAACTATTATACTTTTACAGTCGTGCAGGCAACCCATGACGCTTTGGTAAGCGTCGATGCAAGTAACTTCAACAAAACTCAAATTCGCGAGCAACTTCAAGCTGCGCAGAAGCTGCTGCAACCTCCTGTTAAAACCGCCGCTTTTATGCAGCTTCTGCGAGAAGTGCTCTGTGGCACCAAGGTACACTATTTCAATTCCTTTCATCATCACTGGAAAATTTTTATCGTGCCTTCTGACGACTTCATATATTACCTTGATATAAATTTTTACATACTTGGTTGTGACTGATTTCGCATTATCCTTCTAGATTTTTGGAGTATATATTTACCTATATATTGAGATAAAAAAGTGAAATATTTTTCAATATTTCTTTTTAAGCGGAATTTTGCTTAAAAAGGAATTGTGTTTTTACAACACTTCTCTTTAACTTCACTTCTTGTTGTTTGTTTGTTTGTTTGTTTGTCTGCTACAAATCTTGTTAATCGAAATTTAACACACTTCTACTTATCCTATCGATCTGAAATTTTGCACACTTGTGTAAAGTTGGAGACAATGCATGAATCAAATGTCGAAATAAATGATTTTAAAAAGAAAAAAAAAGTTTTTTCAATATTAAAAAAATTGAAAAAATAATTTTGTCAGCTACAAATATTATAAATGATATTTGACACACTTCCACCTGTCCAATTGATCTAAAATTTTGCATACTTGTGTAAAGTCGGAGGCAATGCATGAATCAATTGACAGAATAAATAATTTTGAAAAAAAATTATATATAAAAAAATTTGAAAAATATATTTTTTTTAATTTTCGAAAATAAAATGAGAAATTCATTGTGCATCTTTAACATTAGAGACACTGGATTCTTAGAAGTCTTCTCTTTAAAAAGTAATTTTTAAACGTATATTATTAAAACTACCTATCCTAAAGGTTTTTGTATTGCAGCAAGGAGAACCTGTGGCTGAAGTGCTAGAGATTCTAGGGCGGCAAGAATCACTCCGACGGCTTCACAACGTTCTTTAATTAAAATCCCCAATAAATTATAAATTATGCGACCGGCATAAATGGTCAGTACGCTTGAAAGATATGAATTAGGTCAAGTATGTAGAGGAAATCTGTATTAAATTCTCGTCAGTGATTAATCATGTTCCATTTACTGTTAATTGTTACAGTTAAAAGATGATTTGAAAGCTACTACATTGAATAAAAGAATCATCTGGAAAAGTTCAATTTCTGCTTGAACAACGAACAGTTCTTTAGTTGCCTGATTTATAGTCATAGTAACTAGTAAGCATCGTAGTTTAATAAAAGCGAAAACTGATTCGTTTAATATCTTCAAAGTTGACCCATTTTTTCACCGCCACAATGAAAAGTTAGGTTCCCGCAGGTACAGACACCGATAAAAATTTCCTGTGGAAACTTAAATGAAACTTAACGCGTTCCGTAACGCGTTGTTATTTGTGTGCATCTTGATGATGGACTTCCAAGTTTATTAATAATTGCACTCCCAGTTTTCTTTTTGAATCTATTGTAGTTTCAATGAACATGTGCACATAAATAAACTTATGTTAACCCCTGTTTGCTCAAATTACCTATCGTTTTTCTAGTCACGTCTTCGTCGTAATCTCTTTTACGGTTTTCCGTAAAATATTTCTTGAAGGTGGCCATACGGTTACCAAATTTTTACATCGCATCGCACGTTGTTCAAAGTCATAACTTAGTCGCTAAAATGAACGTTTTTGCTATTGAGATTTATTGACCTAATCTTGAAACGGGGACGCGCTATCAAAACATTAAGGTCACTCTCGGCAGGCCGATATTGGACGCTGTTGAGGTCTGCAGGGATCAGGAACTGATGCTAACACATGAGGGCGACCGGCATAACGCGCGAGACGAGCGCTGGTGACTCAGTCGCGAGCGCGGACGCGGTGTGTACATTAGGATGCGCGATGAGGTGTGGAACTGTTGCGCGCCGCCGCGGATTTCAGATTCTGTTTGCTCAAAGATCGCTGAACGGCTTTTATTCTTTGTCTTGATTAAGAAATTAATTGTCGTGATCTATCGTTATCATGCTAGATTAGACCATGCTCGGAACAGTTTTTTATAGTCGAAATTTTACTTCATTTGCAATTATAAATCTTTTGTCAACCTGTAACTTTAATTGGTATATTTGTCTTTTATTATTAAATGGGGCCTTTAAATTTTATCACTTTATTTCTTCATCATTACTTATTTGGTCTGCTATTATCTTTAGCTCTGTGTTTTGTATTAAATGTTTGGTCATATTAGACCTTCAAACTCCTTGGTTATTCCTGTCTCGTAAAATCTTTAATGATTAAAATATTTTGTTAAAACTGGGGACCAGTTGAAAGGACTAATAAAGTGGGAAAATTTGTCTGGATTGATCATTGAGGTCGAGTGTGGCTGCGCCATTATGTCCATTATATTTTAAGTATTTTTTTTTTTGACGCATGCGTTTTTGCATTTGATGAACTAGCGTTAGCGATCGACAACAATCCTTGTGAACATACGTACTGTGTTGGAGTTGAAGCGTAAAGAACGTGCCTTAAAACTTTCCTTTCTGTGGTCATGATGAACGATGGCGATCAAAGCGATACGATTGAGTGGATCGACCTACTTACGATCAACTTGTTGCAAACCTAGTAAATCACAGAAGACATGAGTGCATTAAAGATTTTTCTAAAAATAACCGTATGATGAGCGTTCGTGATTTATTCCCATGAAAACCCTTTACAAGTGTGTTTGAAAATGTGTCATGAGGGTAGCTGTTCACTTCATTGGTTATTTTTATTTCAATCATTTGATTACAAGCTAAGAAATGCTTATAACAATTGTATTAATTTTTGCACATAGAAAAATGAACTCTGGTGTTGGTTAATTAAGAACCACATTTTTCCCATGCATTTCGTCTATCGTTAATGCAAATCAGTGTCAAATATACACCCAATTAAATTTCTGGACCGGAGATCAGATTTCGGTTACGATTGATTATCCGTGACATGGTCGCTAAAATATATCTAATCAGCTATCATGGTTACGTCATAATATGCCGATCAATACGCCACAGCGCGGTCATATTCATCGAAGTACGCTGTATTTTACACATGTTCGCACCCATTATGCGCGTTTTATAAGTAATATGAGAGAAATATATGACGTGATACGAAGGGTGAAACTTCGAATCTTAACTATATTTGCAAGTTTGAAATTAATTAAAATAACCAACGTATTGCGGATTTGAAATGGATTTCTTTCCTAAATTAACGATCGAATTTTGCTTCAGATGATATGAAAAGTCTGTACCTGGTATCAGAGATTCTTGAGAGGACATTAAAGCAAGACTCACTCATATTATTTCATCAACACCACAGTGACGAGGTGCTTTATTCAGGAGTGTTCCACGAATCAAACTCTAGATTGAACAAGTCCATTCGCAACGAAATTAATTTCAATAACTCTCATGCGTAGATTACGACTGAATAGAATCATTGAATTTCTCCCTGTACATTCTGCATGAAAAAAAACTCTATCCATCCTTCAATGCATCTCAACCAAACGCAGACTAACGAGGAACTTGTTGACAACGTCACTTCTTCGCTACAAGATTCGAGTTCGACGCCATCTTTATCCCTGCCTGGCCACATTAGATGGGTTTCAACGGCCATCATAGCGGTGGTGTTGGTAGCTGGTGTGGTGGGTAACCTCTTGGTACCTGTTGTCGTGCTCAGAGGCAAGAGATCTACTCCAGTCTACTTCATGACAAATCTGGCGATCGCACATCTACTTGTTCTTGTTATTTGTGTGCCGACTGTGCTTGTGGAACTGCAGTCTACTCCTGAGGCCTGGGTGCTTGGACCCTTCTTATGTAAGTCAAATTAATTAACTTGAGTGTACCTGGTTCATTGAATATTAGTACGATGCATTTATTTTTCAGGAAGGTGACTTTTTGGTTCAAAGGCGGATTATTTGAAAATTCACAGGTCATGTGTAATGTAAAGTGTAGCTCAATTGTCAATTATTATAATCCATATTATGAACAATGATAGTTTAAATCATAATAAGGCTCACATGGCGTCACTCTTGAAACTTCAAAATAATTTTCTAGTAAATAGCTAGCTATTAAGAGTTTTATGTATTTTAATGCATAATAAAATGGCTTACATTTCCTTACTTTGGAAATTTTAAAATAATTTCCTAGTAAATAGATTTGTTAATTTTTTGTACATAAATGCATATTTCATTTGCTGCTTAAATATAATAGACGTCCGCATTGAAAGTACACTGCGCAGTGTCAGGAAGGAGTTCTGCGAGCTATCGATTTACAGCCCCGGTAACGATGGGCTTGCATTCTTGCTATACGGGTGAACAAATATACGTAGCACCACCGTGTTCTACTCAAGTCCTGCATCACACAACTAATTTCATGCCAACATGCTGAACAACTTTACATTAATTACCTAATTGATTCGACAGTATCCATGCCCAACAAATTTCGAAACACGGATGAAAAATAGACATTTCGGTTCAATACCGGATCGAGTGAAAATTTTCACCTCAATTTTTACAGACGATATCGATACAACCTCTAATGCGCTTCAAGTTCATCCTTGGCTTAAACTTCAAACAAGTGAAGTAAAATGTTGAATATGATAATAATATTGTTAAGTAATTTAAATCGTTTTGCTGCATTAAAATTGCACGGTGAATTGTAAAGTGAAAAAAGAATGTGTGATGGCAGACATACCAGTAGAATGGAAGAGACTGGGATGCCAGAATTACCAGTATTATGACGATATTTACGATGACAGATCTGTCAATATTACGACGGTGATTATGATGACGGATCTACTACTAGATCGGCGCTGATTAAGGTGACAGATCTACCTGCATGATGACGGTTCTTATAAGTTATTGTATAATATATTTGGCGTTGAAGAATAGGCCTGTCGCCTATTCATGTACTTTTCTTGACTAGTTCACAGATCTAAAAGACTGTCCTTTTGATCAAATCTTTCCAACGGACAGAATCACCAGCATTATGAAGTCCATTATGCTTACAGAATCCCTAATATGACTACAACATTGACTACAGTTTACGTAGACGTAAGAGTGACGCTGTATCCTGGCATCGACCAGGCCGGTGTGATGGCACCTGCATTGTACTCACGCGCCCTCGAGGTCAACAAACATGGCCGCCTACGACATCGCTCCACTCCGCTCCGCCTTTGGCTCACATGCCGGACCGTTCAAGCTTTTATTCGTTAAATTTAATTTTTATCAAGTTATACTTTTAGCTTTCATCAAACTTGATCGTTTCGAGTTTTATATAATCAGCGTGATGGTTACAGGTTTCGTTTGGATTCAGCCGAAGAAAAAATTCGGAGCTGATGTTTATCAGAAAGGCGCAATAAAATCCGTATCTATCTTATGAGGAAAAGAAGCTAGCTCTGTGATCGAAACTTCAGTTTTTTCCATATCACTCTGTTCTTCAAACGCTTGTCTAGGAAATCCAACTCATCAAAATCGAATATTAAATAACCTTAATATCACCCTTATGATCTATAATACGGTTTGCGAATGAATCCCTCAAAAGTTTCTTATAAATAGAATTATAATGATGATATAAAATATTTAAAAACATATAATAAGGTAATATGGATAGAATGATAGGAGGGATGATAGGATAGGATGTTTACGTTGATTTTCTGTGAGGAGGCCATGCAAGGTTATGAGGCCATGCACGAGCCTGTCAGGTGCGTAGGCTAGAGGCACGCGCCCGCATGGCGGCTTGAGTGTCGCTTTACTGCGTCTGATTACGAAGAAAAACATGCACATGAGTAACGTGACTTATGACTAATTGAACACAAATCCAGATTTGCTGTGTGTTTAAATTCATTTCAGACAACAGCGCAAAAATGTAGGCATGATGAAATCGGAAGAAAGATGTCTTGGCGAGAATCTGATCACTTGTGCGCTCTGTATATGAATATTTGGATATATGTTAGTGCGTGTGAATGTACATCTATGTTGGTAACAGCGACCTTGCTCTGCACCTGCAACTCTATCTCTTAAACGAAGCTAAACCAACAAGCTATTGATAGACCGTCGCCAGCGGGACTGTGGATCTCAACCGATGCCTAAACCTAACTTGTGTTCCGTGATCGGCGTCACCCAACGGACGATAAGAGTGTCAACAGCGAATGTTCATATCCGGTAGACTGCGGGGGTCCCTGCGAAATTCTTATTGTGAAGGAAAGAAAGTTGGTTTTGATTGTAAGAAGCACAGATGATTAAGATTTAGGTCTATTTGAACATCATTAACTTATCGTTTTTAAACAATAAACTTCACCATCACAAGATATGGCTGAATATCTGGCTGTCTGGTGCTTAGAAACAGCTGAATACGTCTTTCATTTTTAATCTTCCATCCAAAAATGAAGATTAAATTATAACCTTAATTCAATATTTTGAATAATATATACCTTTATTCAATATCAAAGTAATCGAAAAATTTAGGTAAGATTGCGGATATTATCCTTCAGACCAACTAGCCAACTATAGTGTTGGTTAGCTTAGAACTTTATATTTAACCGTCTACAAAAAAAAATTCTGTTCACTTATTTGATCTCTCGGCATAATAAGGAAAAGGCGATAAGCCATCCACAAGAGTATCGATTCACTCATCAGGCAACCCATTCACCCACCAGGCAATCCATTCACCCACCAGGCAATCCATTCACCCACCAGGCAACCCATTCACCCACCAGGCAACCCATTCACCCACCAGACAACCCATTCACCCACCAGGCAACACATTCACCCACCAAGCAACCCATTCACCCACCAGGCAATCCATTCACCCACCAGGCAACCCATTCACCCACCAGACAACCCATTCACCCATCAGGCAACCCATTCACCCACCAGGCAACACATTCACCCACCAGGCAACCCATTCACCCATCAGACAACCCATTCACCTACCAGGCAATCCATTCACCCTCCAGGCAACCTATTCACCCACCAGGCAACCCATTCACCAACCAGGTAATCCATGCACCCACCAGGCAACCCATTGACCTACCAAGCAACCCATTCACCCACCAGGACACCCATTCACCCACTAGACAACCATGCACCCACACACACTCACCTTCTGCGTGGCAGAGCGGGTGTTCACAACCGAAACGCCTCGCTTGCTAAGTGCCCTGTTCGTCCTCGGCTTCAGTTCAGTTACTCACGATACCTGCTCAAATGATCGATGATTATCCGGCAAATTGCATTTTTACGACTTCCTGGTGAAGTGCTATTCTTAGGACAATTGTTTGTTCTGTGGACTGTCTTCATGCAGCGATCTCTTGGTTATGTATAGCATCGTTGACGCTCCGAGTATGAACATCTTCAAATACAGACTAGACGAAGCTATGCAGGAGCATATGTTCAGTCTTAAAATGCCTAGCAAATTACGGACCAGGCAATAAGTCCAGCAGCTATCTCAATCAATCGTCAGCTATGGAAAGATCGGGTTCCAAAGGCCGGATCCCTTGTGAATCAAGTCACGAAAAGTTCAAGAATCGGCAACAGGCCATGGGCCTATTTCTTCAACGCCGACACTTCTATTCTATTCTATGTGTGATCAGATTGTTCCGTGTACTGCCTTCACACAGCGTTCTCTTGGTCATATGTGACCAGATTAATCCGTGCACTGCATTCACCTTGGTCCTGTGTGGTCAGATTGGTATGTAAGCTGCCTCTAGAGTCTTCAAGGAGCGATTCTGTGTGGTCACATTAGCTTCTTCTCGTATATCAATCGTGTGTCGTTACCCAACACGCTTGCAAGATAAAAATTTTCAGACTTGTTACGATTGCCTTATTCATCAAGATGGGATAGCTGATTGAAATTTATTATTATATGAACTTTGGTCAATTTCCACTGCCTTGGATAAATTTAACCCATTGAAGTTTCCAATTGGAAATTTTTTCACTACCCAAAAGCGAGGTGTAAGCTAATATTATTATGAGGGAAAAAATTGATGGAACGCATATCATTCACAGCAGGAAACCTTGATGATTTGTTTGGGCCACACGATCACATATATACTGAAATGAATAGAATAGAAGTGTCGGCGTTGAAGAAATAGGCCCATGGCCTTGTTGCCGATTCTTGAACTTTTCGTGACTTGATTCACAAGGGATCCGGCCTTTGGAACCCGATCTTTCCATAGCTTAACCAATGTATATAATGGATTTGTTATTTGGTCGTCAGTATTATTGTAGAAATTATATTTTTCAAAAAATGATGCAGGGTTACTCGTATAGCTTGTACGACTAGCCGACTATTTACCGCCAGAAATATCGGGAGTTGAGCTAATCTGGCCCAGTCTCGCCCGAGTGCGTGATAACTGGTGATTAAGATTTTTAATTGGAGGGTCGAATAGATTTTCACTTCCGAATCTAGAATTTGTGATAATATTTTTCCTTAGAAGAAATGTTATGCGGTGACCTGGATTCTATCCGCATTGTATATTCTATTGATCTACTCTGTGGAAGCTTAAGGAAGGTTTCGGTCTGCTTCTAAAAATGTAATAATTGTTCGAAATTTGTCTTTACAATTCCTTCAATGCTGTTTTTAAACAGTTATTTGCACCTTCAAATTTATTCGCAGCAAGTATTATATTTCGTCAAATGCGTTTTCGTGACACTACCTATATATGACTGGAAAATTTAAGGTGATTTTTACGAGTATTTATGTGCCACAAGTTTTCAAATCGAATGATTACAAGGACTGTTCAGTGACTAACAAAAGCTAAAGAAAGTATTCGCCATTGAAATTTGATTTTTTTTGCAATATAATTGGCGATTTAGCCAAAAAATGGAATTCACTGTGGAATTTTAATAGGGTTGCGACAATTTGCAATAAATTAAAAACGATCGAGAGACTAGAAAAGTATTTGAGAACAGAAAATCTAAGAAAAATATTCAAAATTTGAAGTGTAATGCCCAATTGTCTAGAAAAAAGGGAACGCGAAAAATTATTTTTAACGCGTACATCAAAGTTAAGAATGGGGCAGAGTAAGGCAAATAAATTGTAAATAATTACAGAAGAAGAGATTAAAAACTGTTAAGTATGCGTGAACAATATGAGTGTGAGCGTAGCAATCAGGTGTGAGGCATGAGTGAGGTCACCAGGCGGTATGAATGACGTCATAATTACTGGATATTCACAGGCTGGGTATGAGTAACGTCGAAATAACCCATTATACCACGCTTTGTAAAGCATGCTACCGAGTGCCGATTATCGCCCATTTTAAGCGATTTGAATTCTTTTCCGATTTTAATTTCTTCTTTTTTGGCGATTTAAATTATTTTCCTATAAATATTGAAATTTTTTATCAGGTTCCTTTTTATTGCATAGATTTTCTACAATTGTGGTCGCTTTCATCGGACAACCGAATTACAATTTTTCGTTAACGATACCTCTTTATTCAACACATTTTTTAATGACGATAACTACGGTGTACCTTGTCTCTGCATTAGAAATGCATGATTATCTTGCTAAACTGAAGGTTATATTGTATTAAATTTAAACGTATTAGTAGACAGGAATTTGAAGATATGAAATTGGAATGTACTGGCAGGCATGAGGCGAAATAACATGAAATTCACATGTATTCATAAGCGAGAGGTCAAATGACCTGAATTTAAATCTTTCGTTTCATCGTTCAACTCTATTCAAATCATTATTTATTGCATGAATTTTATTCTAGATATGGTGCACTTTACCCGAAGAAGTAGTAATGACACTTCAGTGGTTTCTAACTCTGATTATTGGAAATCGATGCTTTTTAGATGGAGCCTTTGCACGTTTTGCAACATTTTCAACTTCGTGACCAAATTAGTTTTAAAACGGCAACAGTTTTGAACATTTTATTCAGCAAACAACTCTGAATATTCAAAAAATTGAAATGATTTTTTGTTCATAAAGCGGGCATTCGAGGTCGACAGAGAGGTTACAATTTACATTAAATTTAACATGCAACAGCAAGTCTTTTATCAATGATATATAATTGACAATCATCTTGATTAAGTCAAGAGACGGAAGTCAATGTACTCGCATAATTTAAATTTTCGAATAGGGGGCTTTCATGACATAATGATAAATGAAATTTACCGCTATAACTTGAAATTTAAGAAAATATTATTAAAGTCTGCTACTGGATAAAACAGATGTGAATAAACGATAACTTCTACAATATTGTAATTAACCGAAAACTTCTTTCAAACTTCTTGGTCATACTCATTCAAAGATTCCAGAAAATTAAACTCTTACTTTCTTTAATAATGTTCAATAATTGTAAGAAGTTGTGTTGCACTTAATGTTGCCTGCCTGATTGCGGTGAGAATTGTGATGCCATCAATATCACTCAAGCTCAGGAGTGTGGTTCACTTATTGCTGCATTATGTGCTGTGTAGTACATTTGTCCGGTATCAATCAGGCGTCTCATTCTAATCTTAGAATATAATTATAATGAATAGAATGAGACGCCTGATTTACTCCGGTCACATTAGTACATAGTACATTGAGATCATTGAAGTTTGAAGTGCAATGCAAAGTAAAAAGTATATCAGTAAATTAACTTTGCGAAGAAAAATTAGATTCATATAACTTCAAGTGCATGTTTATCCATTTAACCACACATGAATATTTAAAAAAACAGTTCCAGTATTTGTTTACATTCCAAATTAGCCGGTCTAACAAATTAAACTCTATTAATGAAAAAAATGCGTTATACCGTGTTTTTCCTTATTAATTCCGTCGGTCCATATACGAACGCGGCAGCATAAATACAGGGGTCGTCGTACAATATCCCAAAAATTGGGACGATTCATACAACCACATTTTTCCAGGTCACGCCTCTCAAGATTTACATTCGTTATATCAATTAAATCTTAATTTCCTTTTGTCGTTTATAAGTTAACAAACTTTCCTTCAAATAACCTGCAATTAATATCTAGGCAACTCCTAAGGTTTCATCCGTCTAATCCTCTGTGGCCACGCATGTGGACTATGATCATTCTATTTGTTTTTTAATTTTAATTTGTTCATCTCTGAAGTGATCTGAAAAAGATTAGGTGTTACACGAACATCACCGCAAAATCCAGATTAATCCATTGCGATAACTATAAGCTGCCGCCTCCGAATTTTCATTGAGTATTGTCCGAAAGAAATGAGGTAAAAATTTGGTTTGATGATTCGCAAATAAAATCTTTGTCACAAAAATTTTTTCTTCAAATCGGAGACTGGCTGAAAAATCTACTTTTAGCTCGACTAGTTTTATTTTTTCTAACCTTTTCACTACTAACTCTAGCACATGTACAATTATTTCTACCACAAGTTCTATTATCTTTATCGTCATTCAATAAATCATACTCTGCCACTAACATATTGCCTCTACAACCACTTAAATCAACTGTGCCATTAGCATGTTGCCTTTACCACGAGCACTATTGCCTCTGCCACGAGCACTATTGCCTCTGCCACGAGCACTATTGCCTCTGATACGAGCACTATTGCCTCTGATACGAGCACTATTGCCTCTGATACGAGCACTAGTAGTATAGAGAGTGAGCATACCATAACATTTCGCATAAACAGCTTAAATCATAGGTTACCCTCGAATATCCTCCATCAAAATTACCCAATTACCCCTGAATAAAACCTCCTTCAATATTAATACGAACAATCACCCCTGAATAAAAAATCCTTCAATATTATTACGAACAATTACCCCCGAATCTGTATAAACAGCTTAACAGGCTACCGATCATTTACCCCGAACCATGAGTTAACGATCATTTACCCCGATTTTACTACACTCTTTAACCGAAAATAACCTAGAGTGGCTGCCTGAAAAATACTTCTGTGGAATATATAATTGATTTAAATTTTTGAAATACTTTCCCGAACTGGGGTGCTCATGAAATACACATATTGCATACATACAGAGCTACAACCATTGTCGCATGATACACTTACTCGAGCGAGGCAGAAAGGGAAAGCCGGCTTGGGACAGCGCTGGCGTAATATGCACGGGTGAACAACATAAATGCTTACATGCATAGCGGTGAGCTGCGTTCATTACAGCACCATCACCAAGGCTAACGCACCACTTTCATTGAGGCCATAGAAGTTAGTCATATTATCTCATCCGCTCATGTAAGAAGAGTCATGTTTAGCATGATTTTCAAGCACAGACCGGCACATGTAACTAGTTGATTACACGATTTCACTATGTGAGAGTGGGTGAATGACCCTGATCAATTCACTATATAAAGCTAGGAATGTATTCAAGCTCTCATTTACGTATTCAAGCTCTCATCAACCATTCTCGTCTGAATCTTCCAGTCTACTGCATTGCTCTAGGTGAGTCATATTTTACTCCAGTGCAATATATAGCTGCAAAGTATTACCTAAATAAAAGAACTGTCCAACTAGTCATTGATTTTTAATATCATACATAATTTTCATAACCAAACAAATTTCATGTGGTTAATAATATTAGTTGTAACGTCTCATGTATTGTAGTATTGTCTGAGTTTAATCCTGCAAGTTTGATTATTAGAATATTATCTATTAACAATAAATGATATACGGTTCATGATACATATTACCATGCCATCGATTAACGTCCATTTGATGTTGATGTATCCGATGTATCCATTTGATGTATCCGATGTATCCATTTGATGTATCCGAGTTTTATCTTCATTATTAAAACATGGAGACTAATCCAAATTTCCCTTGGCTCATGGCAATATCTACCATGCTATCGATTTGAGACCGTTAGAATATTATCAACAAGCACAAAAATATATATTCAAAATTTTGCTCTTCAGGTTTCAACAGGGGTGATGGAGATAATAGTTTCACTAGAAGAAAAAGAAACATTGAAAAATGCCCGCCATGATATGATGCAAGTTAAATCGACGATAGATAATGCGTTAAGTGATGATCTATCATATCATATTATGAAAAGAATGATCTCAGAAGATAGAATAGCAATCCCTAAAAATTTTCGCACATATTTGAGAAAAATTTTTTATTTAAAAAAAGGTGTACGAATAGACAGCCCACTGGAACTTAACAACTGGTTAAAAAAAAATTTAGTTGAAATCGATAATGACATTGATAACTTAGACCCACCTGCTGCTACGTGTAATAATTATGATGAAATTTTTCGTTTCTTAATCGGATCAAAGAGTGTAATAAAATCAAAACATAAATCTCTGCTCAAGGAACAGATGCTCTATGGATATTTCTTGCATCAGTTTTGTTTAAAACACTATAACGAATACGTATTGGGAATACGAAGCTCGACCATCCAAACAGTAATAACCGAAAACTTAGGTATTTCTATGTCTTATGCTAATAAATTAAGATGGATAGGTAAATTAGGAGCTAAATTCGAAAAACTCGCAAAATTATCACTCCCTCTTTACGAAATTTTTAGAAAACAGAGGATGATAACAAACTTGTTCAAACATCACCCCGACCTAGCTGCCGAGTGGATCCGTGGTAAGTTACTTGATATGATGGGTGTAAAAGTAAGCACTGAAAGATATATATGTGTTTTATTTTGATTCATTTGGAATTTAATTATATTTTCATATTTGCTATTGAAAAATTCGATGAGGATTTACATTTTTCTAGAATTTAATTCCCGGAATTTCCTCCTACACAGTTCCAGCACCCAACAGCCCCGCCGACAACCAGTAATTATAATGCGAATAAAGTAGCCAGCTAATAAGACCTATCAGCTCCACTATTCATGCCTACAGCAACCTGTAATTATAATGCGAATAAAGTAGCCAGCTAATAAGACCTATCAGCTCCACTATTCATGCCTACAGCAACCTGTAATTATAACCTCTGATACGAGCACTATTGCCTCTGCCACGAGCACTATTGCCTCTGATGCGAGCACTATTGCCTCTGCCACGAGCACTATTGCTTCTGACACTCGCACTATTGCCTCTGACACTCGCACTATTGCCTCTGACACGAGCACTATTGTCTATTGCCTCTACCAACATCATAACTGCTTTTAGAATAACCAAAATTATAATTCTATAATCTTGACCATCAGAACTGCCATCGTATTAACATCGCGAGCATGTTGGTTACCCAACATGCTTTCTAGACAGCATAGTACGTGGTATGCGCAACTCGCTAAAAAAATGTATATATATTTCGATCCATATGCATCTAGGCTAGTCACGTCATGAGCTTGCATCTATGTAATCTTGTAGTTTAATTCTACGGCAAATGCACTCCACACTTTAGTTTTTCGTTTACTTGCGTTGCAGTAGCTGACTGATCAGTATCGTCCCAAGGGGGTTGATTGCTTTTGACTTTTGTTGTGAACGTTTTCCCAATATTATGCATTAGTTTTGAGAAACAGACATCATTCGAAACGCATGATTCACTCGTAACACGGCATGTATCACTTGCACCACAATCATACCCCTATCACCACATGTATCACTACCAACACCACTACGCACAACTTTTGTCCCCACTCTCACCGCCACTCATCACTTATTTCTACCACTACCCACACTTATCACTACCACTAAACACCACACACCATTTATCTCTACCACCACACACCCCTACGTATCACTACCACCACACATCACACACCACACACCAGTACGTACCACCATCACACACCACACACCACACACCCCGTATACCCCCGGTGCAGGCAAGGCGCGGCCCTTCGTAGAGTACACTGCGGTGCACGGCTCGGCGGCGTCGCTGCTGGTGGTGTCCCTGGAGCGCTACGTGGTCGTGTGCCGCCCCCTGCACGCCTCCAGCAGCATGACCCGACACACGTGCGTCACGGCCCTGCTGATCTGCTGGGGCGCTGCACTGCTCTCCTCCAGGTACTGCCTGCTTAGATATAAGTTATTTCAGTACCTGGGAGTGTCAGCTTAAATATTAGATGTTCTGTTTGCTAAGGAGTACCCGCTTAAATATAATGTGTTATGTTTGCTAAGGAGCATCTCTTCAAATATTAGATGTTCTGTTTGCTAAGGAGTATCTGATAAAGTATCATGTGCTATGTTTTCCAAGAAGTATCTGCTTAAATACAAGATTTTCAGTTTGCCGCAATGTCATGTTATTGGTAGCTGGGAGTTTGAACGCTTACCACGGCCACGTTCCGTCAGCTAGAAAATATCTGTTAACGGCAATTGGTTAATTTTGAAACATGGTAACCATGAATCAAGCTATTAGCTGACTAGTTGTGCTGCTGTTCTCTTTGCCAGTGAGTACTCACCCTCTTACGATAATTTTGTACTCACTAGGTGAATCTCTACCTAACTATGACGCGTTTTGTTCGCTATATGGGCGCATTTGATTTTGATTTGTTTTGCAGCTCTGTTAGCGAGGTGAACACTTTTAATTTGTTTTGCAGCTCTGTTAGCGAGGTGAACACTTTTGATTTGTTTTGCAGCTCTGTTAGCAAGGTGAACACTTTTTTTTTGTTTTGCAGCTCTATTAGCGAGGTGAACACTTTTGATTTGTTTTGCAGCTCTGTTAGCGCTGTCTCTTATACACATCTAGATGTGTATAAGAGACAGCATCTAGTCTCACCACACGCCAGTCACACGACACATCTAGTCTCACCACACGCCAGTCACACGACACATCTAGTCTCACCACACGCCAGTCACACGACACATCTAGTCTCACCACACGCCAGTTACACGACACATCTACTCTCACCACACGCCAGTCTCACGGTACATCTAATCTAGTCTCACCACACGCCAGTCGCACTACACATCTAGTCTCACCACACAACTCGTGCTAAGTCTCACCGCCCTCGTTGCCACATCACTTGCCAAGTCTCACCAGACGCCTAGTCACGCTTTTCTTCTCTACGTTTCTATAGTTCACTCAAACCTCTTATCCGTCACAATAACCATCTCAGGCCTCAGTTCAGTCCCGATAATCACTCAGGCCATCTTTCAGTCCTAATAATTATATCAGGTCGCCTTTCAGTCCCGATTATTTAGTCAGGCCATTATTCAGTCCTGATAATCATCTCCCGCCTTTTCTCAGTTTTGAAATTCATTTCAGGCCAAATTTCAGTCCTGATAACCATATCAGACAACCTGTAACTACCGAAACTTATCTCAGGTCACCTTTCAGTCTCGATGCATCGCTCAGACCACCATTCAGTCCCTATTTTCAACTCAAACCATCTTTTAATACAATTTTCAATCAAACCGCATTTCAAATAAACCCCTTCCCCTAAAATTACCCACCCCCCACCGCCCCGCAGCCCCATCCTATGGATCCAGTACTCGAGCGACGCCCTGTTCCTGGACGGGGTACGGCGCCCCGTGTGCCTGACGGACCTACAGCCTCTGTGGGCGCGTCTCTACTTCGTGGTCGTCGCCGTCGTGTTCTTCTTCGTGCCGCTGCTGCTGCTCGTGGCTCTCTACGGCAACATGGCCGCCAAGCTGCTGCAGGACACCTCGCATCTCGGAATTACAGGTGAGCATAGATTTTTTATACTCACTATTACTATTACTCTACAAATTATTTATTTGTGGAGTCTGATTTTAATTAGTGAAAAGATTCATTTTAGAGTTGTTGAAGCATGTAAATGTGAACGTATTTTGGTCATTTCGGCCAGGGGGAATGCAAGGCAATAGATAGCAAACATTGTGTCTGTTGGTGTCGAAATATCGTTAAGTCACGGCTGACAACAAACTAAAACATTAAGCTAAATTCATGCAATGGGCGCAGTTCTAGCGTTAAAAATGGATCCATATCAATTAATAAAAACATGCAAAATTAGTTCATATTTTTTGAATGCTTAGTCTGCATATCATAGTAGAAAAAACATAAATGAATATTAAAGTTCAATGACAAATCACGTTCCAAAGTCGATACTGCAATGTAACATATCTATACATAAAAATAGTTGTTTTTTAGAAAGCCATTTCGCCACTCTCACCATCAGGCCCCAACCCGCACCTCCGGACCAGACGACAGCTGGTTCTGATGCTGGCACTGGTGGTGTTCTTCTTTTTCCTCTGCCTTCTTCCCCTACGAATCTTTCTCCTTTGGATCTTGGCTTCTCCTCAAGAAGACATCCTGGCCCTGGGCATGGAAGGATATTACACGCTCCTGTATTTCTGCAGAGTCATGTTCTACCTCAACTCGGCTCTGAACCCCGTCCTTTATAATGTTACGTCACGCCGATTCCGGGTCGCTTTCGTTACGATTTGTTGCGTTCGTACCGATAGACGTCCGTTGCAATCAGATTTCTTTACGTCATTTACTAAGAGGGAAGTCGAGTGCCCTCAAAACAGACTGCCTCTGAAGGAGTGCGGCAGTCTAGAAAATAAAGACAAAAATATAGCGCGCAAGTTCAAGCTAGATCATTCTAGTAGTTAAAGTGTAGGAAAATCTTGCTAGGTAAGGCTTGTAAATAATTTTCCAGTTAAATACAGAGACAGCTCTACTAGTTAAAGCACAGAGAGAAATTTTCTATTCAGAATTCTGGGATAATTTTCCCCAAATGAAATTTAAAAACTAGTCTTGGGAAGAACATTTAAAAATTATAAAAAAAACAGTCGATTTCATTTATATTCGGAAATATTTTTTTTACCAGTGGCTGTGCTTCCTTCATGGCAAGTAGAAAAGCTGGTAATGGATCGGCTATGATTGAATTCTATAGTTACAAATTACTTATCCATCCTCTGTACAGTTTTGAGGAAGATAAAAATCAGTACAAGTACTGCAGTAGCTCTAATTTTAATAGCTTTATCGTACAAATATATATAATCAGGTGTATTTTTTAACGTGTGCTTACTTCAAATAGACTAACTATCACCTTAAATCAAGTTTATCTAGTCATTCAACAATAATATGTACAACTGTACATATTATTAGCTTTCTCTGAACAAATGCCTGATGGATTACTTGATCATTCATTATCTCCTATTAATTAAGACGTAATTTTGATTTGCATGCTGAAATCTTTAGTATTATTCTGATGAGGGGCAAATTTGGACAGAAAATTCTTAAACTTTCTGATTTTCCACTTGACGAAGAAGACTGAGAAATGCTTTCCAATAACCCGAGCAGTTAATGTGTTTGTATTTCATTCATATCTATGTTTAAATTATTGAGGCAAATATTTGAAAAAATGGATCTCTGAGGCGGAAAATTCTCCTAATTTGGTGTAAAATTTTGTGCTACGCGTACACTTTATGATGTTTTTCTGGCCTTCAATAAAACCTGAGGAAATGTACGGTTACAAATCCACGTCAAATATATCAAGGTATAATTTTTTCATGTATAAGTTTCTGAAAGATTGTTATTTGTGAACATAAACTCCTAAATAATCAGGAGCCACAAACTTTTACAGTGTTCTCTAAACATAAATTACAAGCACCTTCAAGAACAGCGTGCCGTGTTTTTTGTTAAATGATCTTTTTACTTAAAGTACAAAGCAACGGTACCTGCTCTTATCTCTAGCCGCCTTTACATGTTAACCTTCAAGCCAGTTCTTGCACTGGCTTCCAGAACACGCCTTATCTGGCCTCTTTTTAAGACCCACCATCGCCTTATCAGTCCAAGATAAGAAGCTAGGTCACGTGTTTTCCTCACTTCTTCCAGCAAAACTAGAACTCGTGCGCAAAATGCAAGATCTAGTTTTATTGAATTAAACTCGATCGGAGTAAATTAAACTCGATCGGAGTAAATAGAGTGCCTAGAGAACGAGCCTAGTGTCGGTTTATGTTAGTTAATTCACACGTTAGCTGTCGACTGTTCATTGACCATCCATGTGCCACCAAAAATTATTTACCGAGACTGATTTGTAAAACCGAAGCGACCACTCCCATTATTTTAATATGTTTACCTAAAAAAATCAGATGAGAAATTGCAATCAATTTCGAGCATTGAACATTAACATGACAATGGACGTCCACAAATAGTTCGAATTCGAATGAAAAATCTGTGAGAAGGGCTTCCCTGTAGCAGCTACCGTATAGCACCTTCTTACGACCAACTCTTGCCCAGCTCCCGTAGCACCATTGCCGTACACCGAACAATTCTATCTTCTTCTCTGAACCAATGTTTTCATCGGATTTGTTCATTTAAATCTTAAAATCACTAATTTTAACAATTAAAAAATGTGTATGAATTTTAGTCTACAGGAAGCGTTATATACAGCATAACTTTTATGTAATGAATGGTAAAATATATTCCTGATTTTATTATTGTCACATTCTTAGCTTACTATTTAAAAAATCATACATGTATTCTATTTTAGCATAAAAACGGTTCTTTATGCTTATTATTATTATGCACTGCTAACGTCTTTCAATGATTTCTATTTACGTTTTTAACCCGTAAGAGCAAATTTTTTATAGTAAATTAATTATTTTTTTTCAGAATGGATTAATAAGAAACTTCCACTATTCAGAAAATACTTTATTAACGATTCATTGTCCACTTTTTACAGTCGCTGCATATAATATCGACATTGCTAATGTCTAAAGTCAAGGGTTACAGTCACATTAAACAATATTTCTATAATAATAAATGATCCACGATTAGTCAATCAATAGTTATTTATCATGAATGATTTGATATGATATAAAGATGAGGCTAATTACCATCCACGGTACGTAAGTATCACCATATTTTACAATGGTGTGCGCTGCAGATTCTTGCCATGCAATCGATCTTGTAAGATCCAATAAGTCTGATATGTAAAAAGGTGTCAAATTGGAGTAAAAAGTACATTTAACTTTCAAATATATGAACCTTCCAATCAAGTTAAGCTGAACAAATTATTGAAAAGCTAGTCATAAAGTTTAAAATAAAGTTCCGATAAAAATAGTTTATTACAATTGATTTTAACTCAACAAGAGCAGCAGCTCTTGTAACTTAAAATACGTAGCTTATAAATCGATAACTTAAGTAGGGAGTCAACAAAAAACCCCTAATCAAAAGCACAAAAGATGGTATAAAGTATTTATCTGCCATGCAAACAAAGGTAGCTAGCGATGATGAGTGTAACCAAGCACACCGAGCCGGAAACGAGAAGAGTGGAGGAATCAGGATCAATTATCGAACAAAACATTGTGTATAGGAATTGCTATACAATATTATTGCTGTGTATTGCTATTATATAGCAATAAATTGTATAGCGGTCGATTACCGCTGACGTCTGTGGGGCGCACGTGCTAATGGCCCTCCTAATTCTGCTTGAATTTAGGATAACGTTACGGAACAAGGGAGTTTGTTTCTTCGCTGTTTGATGCAATATAGAATAGATTAAAATTGGCAATGAGCTCATACTTGAACTACGTCGAACATTATAGAATACTGATAGAAACATTCGTGGTTTCGCGAACCAACTTTAATAACTCTATTAACAAATACTTTTTAAATTCTTTTCTAGAGGAGGCTTGATATACACAGAATACTAAGTATTCACTATTAATTTCTGTATATATGTTTTCTGTAAATTTCCATTAATAATATAAATACTGACACCACTCAATTGTACATCAATTAAGATTAACTTCCACAATTGGAGAACGGCATTCGCAAACATGTCGTGCAGTTTAATTAATGGTGCGTGGGAGCAGCTTAATTAGATTCAGCAGTCATTCCGATATTTGATTGTGATTGATCGAGTCATCGTATGCTTTAGAATGCATAGCACAGGCTACGACAACAGCCTGACCCTGATATTCGAGGTCGATGATGACTCCAAGGTGAGAAAATTAAATTACTCTATTCTGCTATAAACTTGAAAATTTACTCGAAATAGTCAATTGCGATAAGTTGTTTAGAATGTTAAGAAAGAATCGTGTTAAAAGTTCGCTAAATAATTGCCATTGTATACATAGTACCAAATCAGGCTCGTATGATCTTAATTCGTTCTGAAAATAATTTATTTTGATACACTTTATTTGTATAAAATTGTTGTGAATCTTCCAGTGACATGCGTTGCTTTGTCGAAACAATTTCACGACTTCACCAGAAGTAGCCTGACTGTTTTACGTAGTCAGATAAATACAAAAAACAAGTCATATGTTCTATATAATTAAAGTGTTCATATATGAATAGAATTGTTCAAGCGATGCATTTAGCTTCAAAAAGAAACACGTTCGTCTATTGTAACCACAGTTACTGAAAAGTCTCTTGTAACAACATAATCTAACTTTATTGTTGCTTTATTCACATGGTATAAAACTCGAATATATTCATTCATCTTAAAATTAACTCAAGCCTTTGAACCTGACTCGAATGTTAGCAACAGCAATGGAAAAATTTAAAATATCCGTTATGCCGATGAAAATGGTTGAATATTTGTGGTAAATACAGAAGTGACTAGAATTTTTGTGTGACCACACAATTAACATGAATATTAGATGCATCCATAAAATTGACGTGAATTTCTGTTTTATTGGTAAAAGTAATTAGTTGCTGTAACTACAAAAGTGACTTGAACATTCATTGTAACTCCAAAAGTAACTAGAAAATGCACTATATTCATACAAGTAGCTCGATAACTTGCTGTCATCATAAATGTAACTTGAACATTCTTTGTTATCCTTAAAATCACTTGATCATTCGCCATTATCCACAGGAGTAACTTGAATGTTTCGTTAGAATTCCGTGGAGTTTCTAGGACGCAGGGTACTGGATCCCTATACGCTGATCGCCATATTCACAGGAGTAACTTGAATGTTACGTTACAACTCCGTGGAGTTTCTAGGACGCATGGTACTGCATCCGTGTACGCTGAATTATTGACACTCAGGCACCTTCATTAGACTGCACGAAGCACAAAGATTGGCATGACTAAAGAAACTATATTACCTTGCATTCAATATAGAGACTACACAGGAACAGGAAGGCGAAATTTTGTTGTAACTTATCAGATTTCACCGCCAACTTCATGCAAAATTTCGAAATCAATAAGGAAGCAATACAGGCGGCAAAACTTACTTACATTAATTCTTATTTGAGAAATTTAAAAGCGTTACCGGCGCTCAAACAAATCATATGTATATTGATGACTAGGATCTTAATATTTATCAAGAGTTGTCTAAGTGTGGCATCTGTGTAGAAACTTGAACAACATTTTTCGTACATGAACTGTCGCTCTTCAACCTTTGCTGCTCTCCATAGATTTGTATTTTGGTTGAATAATCGTATATGAATGTATTCAATGGTCGTCCTTCTGAGTTATGCGCATCTAGATGTAGTATAAAAAATTCTAACATTATAACTATAAAACATTCAAGTGTTAGTAATTTTTTCATCAGTATCTTTAAAGTATAGGTATTTAGAAGTGGTTCAAGAGGGTTCCTCCAGTTCACTGGCTTTGGTCAGTCTAGTGTTAACCAATTGCCTTCAAGTGTGTACCTGGTACCAGTCACTCTGAAACACGGGCCTTCAGGTGTGTACTTCATACCAGTCCCTCTGGAACACAGGCATTCAGGTGTGTACTTCATACCAGTCCCTCTGGAACACAGGGCCTCTGTGAACAGCTTGTTCTTGTCTGCGCGGAAGTGATAGAAGAGACAACTCCATTCCAGGCCTGAAAAAAGAACAATAGATTTCAATAAAAACAGCATACGAACCAAAACGGAGCAAAATTATTATACTAGAGTGAATACATTTCTTACTTGACGAGTTTAGACGAATGGTCGCGCCACTTCAAGTTAATTGGAGCCTCGAACTTTGCTTTAGAAAGTTGAAAACTGCAGTTCCGTGTATGACTTCTTAAGTGCCCCATCATAGACTTTATTCATGGTCCGGCTCAATCATTGTATGTACGCATGATAGATCTATGAACGACAAATGCACTCATCGTTAAGAACCTCGCTGCCTTATCCGAGTAATTGTACGGTGTATATACCATTATCATGCTTCTGATAAAGTAGTTTTGATTTACAGTGCTGATTTAATTTTGATTTACATTTGCCATGTAAGAATTTTAGTGGTGTTATAGATGGACGTTATGAGGCAGGCCGTTGGACAGCGTTGAGTGGGCAATAATTTTGAGTAAAGGTTATGTAAAACTCATCACTGCGCTTCAAATAATATAAATAGAGTAAAGTATAGAAGCCTATACCAAGGTCTTGTTACAAATCTGTGCACAAACTTCAATACCAAATAAATTCTAAAAGGTGACTCATGCATTCAAAAATAGCCTCCAAAGTTTCCAAGTCAATGCAACTTCTCATTGTTTCGCATTGACATCCTTATTTTAGAGTTGCT